GGCTGCTTCCTTGTTGTACTGTTTCACGAGAAGGCCACCAGATAACAGTGTTTGAGGAATTATTTTGCCTGTGACCCCATTATCTCATGGCTTTTTCATGAGGCAAAAGTATTTTATTTTCAATTTCCAAGTCCCCATAATCTTAATAATCATAATAGAATACAAAAGTACAATGTTTCTTTTGATAGGCAACACAGTCTTAGTTTTGAAAGAAAATAACATAAAAAGCTACATGTATCCAATATGCAACCTTACAAGTATTAGGCATAGGAAGGAATTATGTGATTTTACAAAATAGAAGGGTGGGGAACAAACCTAAAACTACCTTTAAGGACAATAATGTAGTCATGTAGCATGAATAAGAAAAACCCAGAGAGAGATATTGAAGTTCAAGGGTAAGATCAGAGAAACAAAGCAGCCAAGCCACAAGAGAACTTTTACCTCTATCAAGGCTGGGGAGATACTATCCTCAGCATTCCTGGAGACTAATTGCCCTGACACTGAATACTGAATCCCTGGTTCTATCTCATATGCCTCTCTAGTGCTCAGATTAAAAGCATGAACTATGTTTCTTTTTTTAGAATGATTCACTGTCATGTAGCCTTAGGAGGCCTTGAATTTACAGATATGCCTTAGCCTCTGTCTCCTGATTCCTGGGATTAAATGTGTGCACCCCTATTGCTCAACTTCTATGGCTGTGGCTAGCTTTACATTCTGATCTTCAATGGGTTTATTAGATCACAAACAATATATCACCACAATTCCTATTTTGTCTATTACAAAAAAGAATGCTATAACTAATATAAGAAAATCTACATACAGTAAGTACCATAACTATATACAACATACACAGGCAGTAAATATATCAACAATGTCCAGCCTATTTGCATTTTATGAATTCAGTGGAAATACTCCATTATCTATCCTATCTTTGTGAGTCCATTATCTTTTACCTAATTCATTTTCTATTATTATTGTCCTTATTATCCAAAATTATATTTTTATGTCTGTCAACTTTATACACTTTACATTTCTTTAGGTAAAGTCTTTTCTAAATCTGGTAAACAAGAAAAAATTACAAATATCTCCATCAGAGACCCAAGAAGGTAATATTAACTGAATAAATAGGAAGTATTAGCAAGCAATTTCCAAAATTGTGAAAAATGACAAGAACAGCATGGACAGTCACCCAAGGTTCTTCTACAATGTTGTGTCGTCTGTCTTTAGCCTATAGGCCTAACATACCTGCCTGTGATACTGGATTTTCTGAAGGACTCTCCTGCCTTGTCTTGGCAAAGTTTGCAGTCACTCTTTTTGGTGTCCTGTTTGTCCAATTTGGGCAGCATATTTTCAGCACCTGAGGTGAGTTCACTTTCTTTCACAGTGGCAATCATCTCAACTAAGTGCCTCAAAATTGTTTGAGAAGTTTGTAGTCCAATTATGATCTTTAGTTGGCGTTTTAGCTTAGTGATATGATCATATTCCTGGTATAATTGTTGTTGTTGGGTTAAATCATCTTTTTGAAGACTTCAGAGATCACTTTAAGTCAAATAATTATTTTTGGTATTTTTTTCTAGGTAGCTCTTCCTTCTTTTTTGGATATGTCCAAGTTTCTCAAATTCCTCAAGATGCTTGTTTTTATTTTCCCTAAAAGTCCAAAACAATCCCTCACAAACCAAACTGTGGAGAGGTTCCTAATCTAATATTTATTTTTTATTGTTTCTCCTGTATTTTTTGTTCTCTCTTTTATAACTCTTTTATAATCCAGAGCACTCTGGTTTCTTACAATAGGCATATGTTTTTTAATTCCTTTAGGAAGGAGTTTCCATGGTAACAGAAAACGACTGAGCTGGATTTGGTATAGTGTCCTGTGAGAGGCCCCTCAAGGAGTTTCCAAGTGTAAAAGAATTGCCTTAAATGTCTCTTATTGATTTATATTCATTAGTTCAATGCCGCCTGCTTTTGCCACATTTTTCTATATAATTCAGAAGGAAGGGGTGAAATGTTAAGATTACACTTAGAAAAACCATTTTTTCTTGGAACTTACTATTTACAATCCCTTTTAAAGTTATTTTGTTTGCCACATTTAAAACATTTGAAAGTTTGATTTCTATCTATGCATCATTATGGTCATGAGCTTCAATATTTATTATATTTGAGATCCCTTCCTCCAAAGGTTCTGACCTTGCATTTAAAGGCATTATGATTCTTTTGCATTGAGTATTAACATTTTTAAAAGACAGAGTTTGAATTATTATTTGCCTAGCTTCTAAATCTGGTATCCTATTTTCTGCTCATGCTATTTTTTTTTCAATTTTTTTGCTCTTTTCTAGGTCTCTCTCCCTCACTCCATCCCTCCCTCTCTTCCCCTCCCTCTCTCTTTCCCTCCTTCTCTCATACTGCCTCCTATGCCCCCTGACCATCCTCCAATCCCATCTCCCCCACTCCAAAGGGAGAGTGATGCCTTACAGGAGGGGTCAACAAAATCTGTCAAGTCATTTGGAGTAGGGACTAGGCCATTCCCCATGCCTCTAGGTTACAGGAGTATCCCTCCATGGGGAATGTGCTCCCAAAATCCTTTTGTGCACCAAGGATACATCCTGGTTCCACTGTCAGAAGTCCCTTAGACTGTTCAGGCCTTCTAACTGAGAGCCATGTTCAAGGAGTCTGAGTCAGTCCTATACTGGCTTCCCAGGTATCATTCTGGGGACCCATTTGCTCCTCCTTGTTCAGGCCAGCTGTTTCTGTGGGTTTCTGTAGCATGGTCTTGTCCTCCTTCTCTGCATCTGGATTCCAGCTCAGCTCAGCGTTTAGTTGTGGGTGTCTTCTCCTTCCATCAGCTATTAGATGAGGGCTTTTTGATGTTGGATTAGTTAGTCATCAATCTAATTATCAGGGAAGGACATTTATGATAGCCTTTCCACTTTTGCTCAAACTGTTAGTTGGAGTCAGTTATGTAGGTCTCTGGACATTTCTGTAGAGTCAGTTTTCTCTTCAAACCTGTAATGGCTCTCTTTTATGCTCTCTCTCTCTCTATCTCTATGTCTCTATCTCTCTTTCTCTCTCTGTTATCTATTCCTTCCCTGACTCAATCTCTGTAAGAAAACCATGAAGGCTTCCTTTGATCCCTGTAAAACTTTAGTAAATGATTCAATTTTATTTCCTACTTCTCGAATTCTGTACCAAGTATACAAAGCTGCTGCACTGTATAAAGCCAGGGATTAGTCATCATATAGAGATTGCCTTTCTATAGTATCATAATCACCTTCTGCAAGACTTTGATCTTGGGAGATCTCCATCTCTATCTTTACACTATTGCTCAATAGTCTTAGCCTCTTAGTCAGGTACTCTATTGTCATTGTGAACCAGGTTCTAAGATAGCATTTCTATACTAAGGCTGAAACCAGAGTTTATTTTGCACTAACAGGTCATTTCTCTTCAAGTTATCACTACAAGCAAGTTAAATCTTGCTGTTGCCTACCATATTGGAAAGCAGAAATTTAGTATTCACAGAAAAAACATGGTAAAATGGAGAAGACTTATTTTAATTAGATATAGATAGCCTCAGGTGTTGCCACATCTTACACTACATAAGCCTATGTGACTGAGTTAGTTTTGCTGGTCTATAGTTTCTTCATGTATTCAAGTTACCAGAACAATATAATTGAGAGTATTACTGCATTTCTGACCTGGGGCATATTTATTAAAAAATAAGAACATTACTCACATCAAGAGCTTAGCCAATAGTCAAAATATGATTTCTCATCTACAGACATTTATATAGACTTTATTATGTTAATTGTAGTATTGTCTCTTCCTCTTACAGACTCAATGACTCTCATTCTAATAAGCTGTGATCTGGCTTAATCTCATCTGATTTCATCTTCCAGTTTTGAGACTAGTTCTGAAATTTCTGTTGTTGTCACTGATGTTCCTCTGGTAATCTAAATGTTTTTTTTTTCTTTGATCCTTAATCTATGCTGACTGCTTTATCTCCCATTAAAGCATTTTCTGGTTTTGCTCTTTCAACTCAGAGCCAAAGTCAGGTATTTAGTGAGACATTCCCTGACAGGTGACAATATTGAAGTTATAGTATACCCTGTCTTAATTTTTGTCACAATTTTACTAATTACAATGTTCATCTGAAATTCATAACTCATTATTAAAGTTATAGGTACATTCATTTTTCTCCACTTAGAGAAATTTGTAGATTAGCCAAATGCCATATGGATTGCTGTTAAATAGGGTCTTATGCACTTGGAAGAAATGAAAAATTAGGACACTCACATACTTGTTAAGGGATGGGAAAGTTTATTCCCATCTGTAGTGCCCTGTTCTGTCACAGATTTTTACTAGTATTGAAAATGATGAAGAATTTAAAATTTTTAGTTTGTATTATAGCCGGTATAAAGATGTTTGCCTAAGGGCAAAAAGCTAGAGACTTTTTATGTGCTTCATATGCAATCAGCACTAGAGAAGATGCATATTTCTCAAATCCAAAAGGAATTTCATAATGTATTTTTTTATTTATTTGCATACAAGGACTTGATATGTAGCACAGTATGGTCACACTCAAAATATTCATCTTTTTCATCCTCCTGTTTGGAAGTTTCTGCAAATTAAAAAAGCATTTAAATAATTAACATTAGAGTAGATGAAACAAACAAAAAAAGAGCTCAACATATTATTATGTTTCAATTTAGAATGGAAATAATAAAAATATTTGCAAACATAATTATAGATCTAATTGTGTCAATTATATGTTGCTTGATTTAGTGGAGTACATCAGAAGTAAGATCTATACTAATCGAATAACACATGTCCTGAAATGACTTTCAATGTTTTCTCCCATGAGAATTTCTGAAGGACCTTCACCTGTTCACATCCTCACCACAAATCTTATAGATTATGAATGAAAACTTATTCTGTAAATATTTATTCATAAATGTTGACTTTGTGAAATGTACCTTTTGCAGAATATAAATATGAGCTAGAAAGAACACTGACAACTTCAAAGCAAAATGAAGTTCTTTCTGCTTGTTTCTCTCCTTGGGTTCTGTTGGGCTCAATATGACCCACAAACTCAATACGGGCGGACTGCTATTGTCCACCTGTTTGAGTGGCGCTGGGTTGATATTGCCAAGGAATGTGAGCGATACTTAGCTCCTAAGGGATTTGGAGGGGTGCAGGTAAGACTTAATCACAATTTAAATGGGGGAGTTTACTGTGTTAATATATAAAACAGCATTCTAATCAGAACAATGTGTTTGGAGCACAGTTCCACCTCTCATGAATTTCTCGAGTAAGGAATATGTTTGGTGATGATGACATATATATATATATATATATATATATATTTATATATATATATATATATATTGGTTTAGGACCCCAGCAGGAGCATTGCAATGTCCTGTCCCTGTTTTCAGATGGTCGTGAAGGGACAGAACTGCATGTTCACTAATTGAGAAATAATATCAGGTCATTGATAGGTTTATAGGAAACTTAACTTCTTAAAAGTTGTAAGAACTTAGCAGGCTGTTGTTCAAAATTAATTATGACAATTCTATTTGCAGGTATCTCCACCCAATGAAAATATTGTGGTTTATAATCCATCAAGGCCTTGGTGGGAAAGATACCAACCAATTAGCTACAAAATATGCACAAGGTCTGGAAATGAAGATGAATTCAGAGACATGGTGACAAGGTGCAACAATGTTGGTGTAAGTGATGTTATGTCTTCTTTAAAATCTTACATAGAATTTTACAGATTGAAAATTCTTATGGATGAAAATATTTTTCTTCTTTATTCTTTGGCATTTTCATTTGTGCAGAAAATTTCATAATTTGGGTGTGTTGAAAGGAGGGATGCAAGGGAAGGGGGGAAGTGATATACTTTAATTATAAAAAATGAAAATATAATAAAATCATAAAAATTAATTTTATTTTCACTCTCAAAATGCCCTACTGCCCTATAGTCACATTTTGAGAACCCCTGCACATCGATTATGTAAAAATAAGAATTAATAAGATTTAAATAGATTTTCAAGTTTTGGAGATTTGTTAGCATGTAATGAGCTTGCCATTAAAACTTTAGATTTCTGAGTCTGGCTGAAATATCCACTTTCCTTCTTCAGGTTCGTATTTATGTGGACGCTGTTATTAATCACATGTGTGGAGCAGGTGGTGGTGCAGGAACAAGCAGTACCTGTGGAAGTTACTACAATGCTAATAACAGGGAATTCCCATCAGTTCCATACTCTCGTTGGGATTTTAATGATGGTAAATGTGATGGAGAAATTTCTAACTACAATGATGCTAATCAGGTAATGAGAGAAATATTGATCAGACTAAATTAGCAACTAGGCATCTAGGAATGCACAAGGGATTTATGGATAACCATAATATAGGGAAGTGTTTATTAAGATAGAATGCTTGAAAAATAGAAATGGAAAAATGTTCTGTATTTACTTTTCATTGTTTTGTAAGGATACACCAAAATCAATGACAAAATATAGCTAGGCTTTCTAGTGAGTTTGTGTGAAAATCTTAAAAGCATGGTTAATCAATTATATAAAATTATAGTATGGAATATAATTAGAAGTAAAAATCAAGTAGAAGTAAAAAAGAAAGAAAAAAACAGAGAGTGAGAAGAAGCAGATACAGGAGGTCAGAGAGATAGAGTGGAGAGAGAGGCAGAGACAGATAAAAAGCGGGGGGGGGGGAGAATTAACCATCTAAAATTCATACCAACTTTATCTCTGATATTTTCTATACCTACAACAGAAAATATTTTGAAGTCCATGTTCAAATTAAAACATAAATTCTTCCCATGTCCTAAGTAAGGGAAATACAAAACTACCCATTTCTAAATGGGTGAATGACTGAATGATGAAAATTTTCCTAGCCCAGACATGACTTTTAGTAGATCAATCCTTTTTTATCTAATAGGTCAGAAATTGTCGTCTGTCTGGCCTGCTGGACCTTGCACTTGAGAAAGATTATGTTCGTACCAAAGTGGCTGACTATATGAACCATCTCATCGACATTGGTGTAGCAGGGTTCAGACTTGATGCTGCTAAGCACATGTGGCCTGGAGACATAAAGGCAGTTTTGGACAAACTGCATAACCTAAATACAAAATGGTTCTCTCAAGGAAGCAGACCTTTTATTTTTCAAGAGGTAAAACAATATACATGTTCTTTTTATTTTTGAGACTATAATCTTTGACTTTTATTGAAAGTAAATTCTTTTCTAACATAATATATTCTGATTATGGTTTCCTCTCTTTCCACTCTTCTCATGTCTTCCCACCTCCCCTTCCTTCCGAATCTACTCCCTTTCTCTCTCTCATTAGCAAACATGTTTCTAAGTATGAAAAATCACAAAATAAAGTGCAATAACATAAAACCAAAATTATGACATTGATGTTAACAAGAGTATCAAAGAGAAGAAAATAGCCATGAACCAGAAACCTACTCATTTGCACATTAGGGAATCCCACACAAATATTAAACTGCAAGCCATAATATATACACAGAAGACCTGGTGCAGACCTGAGCAGACCCTTGAGATTATAGTTTAGTTCCAACATTTCTCATTCCTGCCTTGTTTTTTTCTACTTCTAAACGCTTCTATAATGCCATATACACTGTTCTTTAAAAAGATGGCCTCTTCTTACCCTAATGGTTGTTGTTGTTGTTATTGTTGTGTGTGTGTGTGTGTGTGTGTGTGTGTATGTCTTCCTAGTTATAACTTTTAAATCTATGAATATTTTCAGGAGTGACTGGTTGGTAGACAATAGATAATTGGTCTGTGCTTCCCTGAGGAAGTTCTTTTATAGGAATGAGGCTTCATTGACTGCATTTGGATATCATTTTGCAAACCAAAGAACAGAAAGCAGATTTTATAAAGCATTCAATATATAATCTAGTTTTGTAACTCATTACTTATAGAATGTAGCATTCTGCTATTCCATAATAGTATTACACTCACTCAGAGATAGCACACTTTGTTATTTACAGGTTCCAAGATAGTGAAAACGTCACTAATTTATGCTCTAAACTCTCAGATATTATTATATAAGACAGATAAATTATGCTTGTTGATTATAGCACATATTTCTGAGTTTGAGTTTTGTCTCATGTTATGAGTGTTGTAGGTATTTAAGGCAAAGTGATGTAACTTTCTGTACCATAATAATATAGTAAAGATAATGTGTTTGTATCTCTGTTTTCTTTGGACATTTTAATGTTTTATAAGCACTTCTGATATTGATAATGACCTTTCTTCAAGTGTTTTATCAGTGTGGACTAAGGAATTTTCCCCTCTGTTATCTATCTTAGAGGATAAGAAATTAGAGTGTAATTTGAGTCTTTTCAATATGTGACATACAGGTTTTGGAAAAGTCAGCATCTGGCTATACAGAGAAACATTAAGAACATGTCAAATAACAAAAATATTGGAAGGGTTTCTAAATGCTATTATATTTAAATAATGTGCTTTAAATATATCTTAAAATTTACAACTGACCCAATATCTCTCCTAGGTCATTGATTTGGGTGGTGAGGCCATTAAAAGTAGTGAGTACTTTGGAAATGGTCGTGTGACAGAATTCAAGTATGGAGCAAAACTAGGCACAGTTATCCGCAAGTGGAATGGAGAGAAGATGTCTTATTTAAAGTAAATATACACATTTTTTTTGATCTATCATAGATCTGTTGACATTAGGCATCAGTAATTTATATCTTCAGCCATTCAGGTTTATATAATTGTGACTTTTTTTTGATTATTTGTTTGTCTTATTTTTCCCTAAACTAAAGTTAATCATCTTTCCTATTTGGAATGTCAATCACTAGGCATCTCTGGAAATCCAATGTATCACTTAATGATTTTTGTCTCTTTGTGATTTGTCTATTAGATTTCAAGAATGTGGTCCTATAGGTTTGATTGCTATTATAAGTGTATCTTTATTCATGACTGTCTACAACATATAACTTACTTATGTTATAGCAATGGATTAATTAGAAATTTTGAAAGTTTCTATTAGAAAGTTATTAATTTAGATTTACATTCTATGTTATATAACTTGGATGATTCACTTCTGAAGTCCATAAAATTGTAGTACAATAAAATTCTAAAGAAAAAATTTAAAACCAAAAATATTTTATTGTAAGACTTTAATGCAGATAATGTTCTCACATATATTATCACATGAAATGATACTATATATGTACCTATAAGAGAGATTTAATATGGAATTGTCATTTATTTAGATAACTGAGGATACCTATGCAAAGTTCTCTAAGCACTGTGAAATAATAATAATGTGCTTTTTTAAATGCAGGAACTGGGGAGAAGGCTGGGGTTTTGTGCCTACTGACAGAGCCCTTGTGTTTGTGGACAACCATGATAATCAGCGAGGGCATGGAGCTGGGGGAGCATCCATCCTGACATTCTGGGATGCTAGGTGAGAGAACCTTTGTTGCTCTTGTTAGCCTGCCTTTATCGGCAGCATTATATTATAGACTTCTGCTTGAATAACCTTTTGAAACTTGCAGAATGTATAAAATGGCAGTTGGATTTATGTTGGCTCATCCTTATGGATTCACACGAGTGATGTCAAGTTACCGTTGGGCAAGAAACTTCCAGAATGGAAAAGTAAGTCTTCAAGTTCTTCAAAGCATATTTTAGTCTAGAAAAGGAAGAGGTTCTGTTTCAATTTCACATGAAGTAATAGCATATTATACTTATTATTAAGTAATTACTTGCAACATTTTTGTAAAGTAGGACATTGTATAAGTAGCTTATAATAAAAAAGAAATAGTTTAAGTACAATTGGGATAGACAATGAAAACTGGTATGACTGATAAAGCTCTGATTCACAGAATTGATGTTGGATCATGCCTGATAACACTGAAGAGAATTTCAAATTCTTTCATCCTTGGTGCAATCAATAACACCATATTAAAATGCTTTAATTTATTTGCTATGAAATGAGAAGGCAGCAGAATGAAGGTATTCCTGAAAATATAATAGGTAGAAACATAAGCATCACAGAAAACTGATTTGTTCACAAGTCAGTGAAAGCTAAGATTTAAAACAATATCTGTGAATTTCTTAGGTGTATGCATAAATGATTTCAAAATTGAATTAATAAGTAAGAACAATAGAAATATGAAAGGATGCTTTAAGTTTTCTATTTTAGTTGAATAAGCAGAATCACAGAGAACCACCAAATGTAAATTTGAAATATTTTCTCTGTAAGTCTGACAAATGTTATTTTTTTTATTTTTCTTTCAAGCTGAAAGCCCTTCAAGTTTTTATTGGAATTGATTCTATTCTTGAAAGGCTTTCATGTTCAGAATGACTTTTTTTCTGGTTTCATAAATACATTTAAAGTTCAGCCATTATAAAATGTGCATGTATACTTCATTAAATTTGGATAGAAAAGTCGGGATATTTTATGAGCTCATTTTACCAGCAAGTAGTAAGAAATCAAGTAATATTAACTTAGAAGTTGTTGTATTAAAGACATTTTTACACGTTCTTTAATTGTTATAGTAGATAAGAATTCTCTATTTTATGGATAAAATGCACATTTATGTAACATATATTGATGACGATTTTTCATGTTGTTACTGGAGCTTGTTCTTTTATGGCAGTATTCCTCATTCTAATTTTCTTTTTTCAGTTACATTGAAGAGCTCTTAGTGATATTGAACAGAAAATGAGAGGTTTAAAAATTGTTTCGGGCTGGGCAATTTTACCTCACACCATTAATCTCAGCACACAGGAGACAGAGGCAGGTGGATCTCTGTGAGTTTGTGGCCAGCCTGGTCTACAGAGCGAGTTCCAGGACAACCTCTGAAGCAATACAGAGAAACCCTGTTTCAAAAAAAAAAAAAAAAAAAACCAAACCAAACCAAATGAAACCAAACAGAAACAACAAACAAAAAAACAAACAAAAACCAAAAATTTGTTTCTGGTGTTTTAGATATCATTGTAGAGAACCCAAATTTTCACAGATGTTAGGGACTCACTGAAGTTTTTTTTTTTTTTTTTAAACAATAAAGACTTAGATTAAATTTGGACAACCCCAAGACAGCATTAGCAGAATGAGTATGGGTTTGGTTTTGTATAGTGGAAAGAAACAGGTATATACCGGCATTTAAATGGTCTCACTCTTTCGATAATAAAGGATGTGAATGACTGGATTGGACCACCTAATAACAATGGAGTAACAAAAGAAGTGACAATTAATCCAGACACCACTTGTGGCAATGACTGGGTCTGTGAACATCGATGGCGTCAAATAAGGTTGGAATTCCCCTGCAGATCTTGTCTCATAAGAAAGTTGGGTAACTTTTAAATGGCTGAAGTTTAAGGGTACCAGCATTTCATATGATATTATCCTTTTAGGAACATGGTTGCCTTCAGAAATGTAGCCAATGGTCAACCTTTCTCAAACTGGTGGGATAATGGCAGCAACCAAGTAGCTTTTGGCAGAGGAAACAGAGGATTTATTGTCTTTAACAATGATGACTGGTAAGTCAATATCAATTAAAGTAGGGCAGCATACTATTATTTTCTTAGATCCTTCTTTTTTTCCTATTCATTTACATTTTTCTTATGTGAAAAGTATTTTTGCTAATGGATTTAAGATACAAAATGAATGCTGTATGTACAGAAGGCAAAATGATGCTTTGTTTAATATTCTGTTCTTTTAGGAAAAATTTTATTATTGCAATCTTTTACCCCATTCTGAAAATAACAGTGGCATATATTGATAGGTGTATGCTCATTTGACACTTTTACACATCACATAAAGAGTAAAGAAAAGTCTTAAAATCATTTAAACAATGTATATAGTGTTAGCACTGGAGTACTTTCCCCAGTTGTTCTGAATATCACTTATTGTTTTTTATACAACTTACTGATGTGCGTTTTTCATTTTTTTTTTATTTGTGGTCTTTTAAAATAATTTCCACTTGCACCCAGCCTGTGGATTTCTACAGGAAATTTCTCAGCTGGTTTTTAAACTTTTGTCACCGTACTTTTGCTTCCTATATGTTTCTCTGAGTCTCCTTTAGTGTATTTCTCATCTGTAGATACGTAGCTCAAAGAGTATCATTGGAAGCAGGTGAACTGTCCAAATCCAAAGTCAGCTTGCAATTTGACTGAGAGTATTTTAGCATAAATTATATTTTATTGGCAAATCCTAAATATGTAAAGTAAATAGATGTCTTAGTTTTGGTTTCTAATGTTGTGGAGAGACACCATGTCCATGGCAACTCTTATAGAAGAAAAATATTTAATTGTGGTGGCTTATTTTTTTAAGAGGTTTATCATCATTATCATCATGGTGTAAAATGGTGGCATGCAGACAGACATGGTGCTGGAGAAGTAATTGAGAGTCCTACATCTTGACTCTCAGGCAACAGGAAGTAGGTTTTCTCACTGGTGTGCCTTAAGTATTTATGAGACCACAAAGCCTGCCTCTACTGTGACACATTTCCTTCAAGAAGACCATACCAGTCCAAAAACGCTACACCTTTTAATAGTACCACTCCTTTTGGGGGACATTTTCTTTCAAATGACCACAATAATACATACTTTTTGTTGTTGAAAAGAGCATATGGCTAGTTGTTTGGGAGCAACAGAATTGCTTTTTTTTTTTATTTTTGCTATATTAATTACTAATGTTAAAAGTTCTGATTTTACACATTAACAGCAATCGTAAAATGAAGATGATTATATTTTAACAAAAGACATAAAAGTTATTATGTTCTTTATATCATGAATTCCTTATTGAGAAAAAAATATTTTTTCCTTTTTAATTTAAATTTGAAACAAACTTGTTTTACATGTCAGTCCCAATTTCTTCTCTCACCCCTCCTCCCCTGTACCCACAACCCAACCCACCCCCTTTTTTGCTCCCCAAGGAGGGTGAGGCCTTCCTTCAAAATCTGACATATCATTTGGAACAGGGCCTAGGCCCTGCCCATGTTTCTAGGCTGAGGGAGTATCCCTCTATGTGGAACGTGGGTGTTAGTTAGAAGGTCTGGGTAGTCTATGGGTTCTCTGGTAGTGAAGCAGTATTTATCTTTAGTATATGAAAAATCTTATTCTTATTTAAACTATTTTTGAAGATTATAAATATAAAGATAATTTAAAAATATTTTATAGTGTTCATGGTATTATATTCTTTTATATGTTATTAAAGTTATACAAGTTATATTTTAAAGCAAGAATAATTTTTGGAGTGGCTGTTAGACTTAATTCCTAATGGCTGAGCCATTTTCTAGCATAGTAATGAGATTATTTAAAAATAGGAATTCTCTATGTTGAAGGAATGTCAGAATGAAAATTATACAATAATTAATATACATCCCCATGAAATAAGCATTTTAAATATAATGACATTTTTGAAATTTTATACAAAATAATCAGTGATGACAAATGTTGACTTTTAATACAATAAACATGACATTTTACATAAAATATTTATGTAAATTATCATTTTAATTTACAATAAGTGACACACAATTACATTATGTCTAAATGTAAATGGATATTCAAATAGAAAGAAATCAACTTATTTGGTCTATAAGATGATTGTGAAATAATTTTGTTTTGTTCATTCTGTCCTTATGAATATAGTCAATGAATGTTTTGTGACTCTAGAATTGTCATAAATTCATCAAAACTATCATTATGTAGGTATTATTTTAGGCTATTTGTTCCTTTATCAGCTGTAGGTGTCTACTTGTACTTCCATCAGATGAAGGCTCTAGGGTGGCATGTAAAGTAGTTCTCAATCTCATTATCATAAAGAGCATTAAAGGTAGCCTGTCCATTAATGCTTAGATTGTTAGTTGGGTTCATCCTTGTAGATCTCTGGGCTTTTCTCTTATCATTGACTGAGGTATTAGTTCTACCAATAACAGAATTGCTTTTTATACTGAGTTTTCCACTATAAGCTATTTAGAAATGTTAACGTATGCTTAATTCTAAACAAACTTGCTTGTGGCATCATATAATCCAGTATCTTTGAAGAGATAGCACTATTAACATTTTTTAAATTCATAGTTAAAGTCCAGCAGAGGACAGACATGAAAGCACTACAGTACTCATGGGATGGCTTTGTCAGTGAGCTTCACTATATTTCCTGTCTTTCATTGTGTAGTAACAGTCATCACAAACTGTTTACTTAGCAAGCATTTAAAAAGATGTCTTTGGTACAGAGAATTATCTAGCTTATCCAGGTCTGGACATGGTGTTTTGATTTTCTCACTAAATTTCTGACTTATTGGTGTTTTATAGTACATAGTTGAGGAATTTAATTATTTTACAGACAATAGATCTTATTACACTTAACTTAATTAAGTTAAGTTAAATTAAATACTTTTTTTCAGGGCTTTGTCAGCAACTTTACAGACTGGTCTTCCTGCTGGCACATACTGTGATGTCATTTCTGGAGACAAGATTGATGGCAATTGCACTGGAATTAAAGTCAATGTTGGCAGTGATGGCAAAGCTCACTTTTCTATTAGTAACTCTGCTGAAGACCCATTTATTGCAATTCATGCTGAATCAAAACTGTAAGACTCAAATTAAATAAATATAGAGAGCATCAATTGAGTGTGCTTCTTGTTCCTGTGTACCTTATTGTTTTTGACTTTTCTTTACAATTATATATTTATGTCTGATGTGTGTGTATGTATGTGAATGCATGTGTGTGTGTGTGTGTGTGTGTGTGTGTGTGTGTGTGAAAGAGAGAGAGCACTATGGCATGTATGTAGCATGTGCAAGGACAGCTCTTTGTTGTGCCTTTTCCTCTTTCTGTTATCCTATGTCCTGTGGTGATCACACTTAAGTCATTGGGTTTGTCTTGTAACCTGCCATGCAATGTTGCCAGCACAAATATACCTGAATATTTAGAGTTTCCTTCCTTTTATTAAAAGATATGAGCTATAAAGGTGAATAAGTAAAAAAGACATAAAACCCACATGGAATTATTAGATAACTATATCCAATTATCTCTGTTTTAGCAGAAAACCATTAAAATTCACTGAACTCTGAATGTCATCCTGAATTTATTTTCACTCTTACAATATTTCCATCATTCACTCAAGTGTTTTAGAGTTCATGATTTGATTAGAAAATTTCCCATAATTTCATAAAACATGCACATAGGTACACATATGTAAAGCACATTAACTAAGCATTTTAACCCATTATTCTTTCTTTATTATTATTTTTAAAATTTAAATTAGAAACAATCTTGCTTTACATAGCAATCTCAGGTCCCTCTACTTGATATCCTCCCTTGACCCCCACCAACACTCCCATTCCATCCCCTTTCTGTTCCCAGGGAGGCTGAGGTTTTCCATGGGAGATCATCAATGTCTGTCACATCATTTGGAGCAGGACCTAGGTTCTTCCCCATGTATCTAAGCTGTGAGAATATCCTTCCATAGGGAATGGGCTTTGGGAGCTCATTATCTGCACTAGGGATAAATACTGATCCACTACCAGAGGCCCCATAGATTGCCCAGGCCTCTTAACTGACAGCCTCATTCAGGGGGCCTGGGTCAGTCCTATGCTGGTTTCCCAGCTATTAGTCTGGGGTCCATGATCTCTTCCTTGTTTAAGTCAGCTATCTCTGTGGGTTTCTCCTGCCTGGTCTGGACACCTTTGCTCACCACTCTTCCCTATTTGCAACTAGATTCCAGGAGTTCGGCTCAGTGTTTAAATGTGGGTGTCTGCTTCTGCTTCCATCAGCTGCTGGATGAAGGCTCTAGGAAGGCATATAAGGTAGTCATCAATCTCATTATAGGGGAAAGGCATTTAAGGTCACCTCTGCACTATTGCTTGTATTGTTATTTGGGTTCATCCTCATAGATTCCTGGATATTTCCCTAGTGGCAGATTTCTCTTTAAACCTATAATGGCTCCCTCTATTAAAGTATCTTCTTTCTTGTTTTTCTCTATTCTTCCCCCGACTCAATCTTCCTGCTCCCTCATAAGCTACTCCCACCTCTTCTTCTCCCCTTTTCTTTCTCCTAACTCCCTCTCTGTTCCCCCAATACTCCCAATTTGCTCAGGAAATCTTGTCCTTTTCCCTTCTGTTAGTGTCCTTCTTGTTTTCTAGTTTTGCTGACTGTGTGGATTATAGGCTGGTATTCCTTTGCTCTATGTCTAATATCCATATATGAGTGAGTACATATCATGTTTATGTGGCTGGGTTACCTCATTCAGTATTTTTTCTTCTAGTTCCATTCATTTGCCTACAAATTTCAAGATTCCATTTTTTTTTCTCCTGAGCAGTAGTACACTATTGTGTAAATGTACCACATATTCTTTGTCCATTCTTCAGTTGAGGGTCATCTACGTTGCTTCCAGGTTCTTGCTATTACAAATAATGCTGCTGTGAACATAGTTCAACATTTCCTTGTTGTGTGAATGTGAATTGCTGGATCTTGGGCTAGACTGATTGCCATTTTCCTGAGGAACCACTATACTGATTTCCAAAGTGGCTGTACAAGTTTGTACTTCCACCAACGGTGGAGGAGTGTTCCCCTTTCTCCACACCATCTTTGGCATAAACTGTCACTGGTGTTTTTGATTTTAGCTATTCTGACAGGAGCAAGATGGTATGTCAGAATTCTTTTGATTTGTATTTCCCTGATGGCAAGGATGTTGAGCAGTTTCTTAAGTGTCTTTAAGCCATTATAGATTCCTCTATTGAGAATTCTCTATTTAGTTCTGTATCCTACTTTTTTCCCCTCTAATTTAAATTTGAAACAAGGTTATTTTACATGTCAATCCCAGTTCCCTCATCCTCCCATCCTCCCCTATTACCCTGACCAAACCACAACCCATCTGTTGCTAGCAGTTTTCCTGCCAGTCTGGTCCCACAGCTGCATCAGCCCCAAATACACACAGAGATGCTCTATTAGATATAAAGTTGTTGGCCTGTGAATTATGTTTCTTATTGGCTAGCTCTGTCTTAAATATTAACCCACGTCTATTAATCTAAGTGTTTCCACATGGTCATATCTTATCGAAGAGAGGGTCTGCAGTCCTTACATTTTGATTCTTCTACTACATCTCGCAGAATTCTCCTTGTCTCCTAGCCCTGCCTATCTTGCTTTTCTATTAGCCAACAGTGCTTTATTCATTAACAACAAAGAGAAACATATTTACAGAACGACATCTCCCATTGCCCATCCTCTTTCTGCTCTCCAGGGAGGGTGAGGTCTTCCATGGGAAGTCTTCAAAGTCTGTCTTATCATTTAGGGCAGGGCCTAAGCCTTCCCCAATGTGTCTAGGGCGAGAAAGTGTTACTGTATGTGATTTGGGCTCCCAAAGTCCATTCGTACACTAGGGATAAATACTGATCCATTACTAGAGGCCATATAGACCATCCAGTCTTCCTAACTAACACCACATTCAGGGGGTCTTAGTCAGTCCTATTCTGGTTTCCCAGCTATCAGACTCGAGTACATGAGGCCTCCCCTCTTTGTTTAGGTCAGATGATTCTGTGGGTTTCTACAGCCTGGTTTTGACCCCTTTGCTCATCATTTTTCCCTCTTTGTAACTGTATTCCAGGAGTTTGGCTAGTGTCTAGCTGTGGGTGTCTGCTTCTGCTTCCATCAGCTACTAGATGAAGACTCTAGGATGGCATATAAGGTAGTCATCGATCTCATTATAGGGGAAGGACATTAAAGACAGCCTCTGTACTGTTGCTTAGACTGTTAGTTGGGTTCATCTTTGTAGATCACTGGGCATTTACCTAGTGCCATATTTCTCTTAAAACCTATAATGGCCCATTAGCTCCTCCTTGTTCAGGTCAGCTATCTCTATGTGTTTCTGCAATCTGGTCTTGTCCTCTCCATCTGCATCTGGGTTCTAGTTCGACTTAGTGTTTAGGTATGGGTGTTTGCTTCTGATTCCAACAGGTATTAGGTGAGAGTTCCATGTATAAGTTAGTTGTCAATCTCACTATCCGGGAAGGGCATTTATGGTTGCCTATCCATTGATGCTCAAATTGTTAGTTGGCAGCAGTCTTGTAGGTCTCTAGACCTTTCTTTAGATTCAGTTTTCTCTTCAAACCAATAAAGGCTCCCTCTTTTATGTTCATTCTCTCTCTCTCTCTCTCTCTCTCTCTCTCTCTCTCTCTCCCTGTCTCTCTCTCTCTGTCTCTCTCTTCTGTCTTCTATTCCCACCCTGACTCAATCTATAGCTGGGAATCCAGCATGGGATTGACTCAGGCCCCCATGTATATGGGTCTCAGCCAGAAGGACTGAGCAGTCTAAGGGACCTCAGACAGTGGAACCAGGATGTATCCCTGGTGCACAAAAGGACCTTGCAGACACATCCCCCATGGAGGGATACTGCCTTGACCTAGAGACAGGAGAGAAGTCCTAGTCCCTACTTCGAATGACCTGTCAGATCGACATGACCCCACCTGGATGGCATTGCCCTACATTTGGAATTAGGGTGGGGGGGATGGGAGGGGAGGTTGGTCAGGGTGCATGTGAAGGGGCAGAGAGGGTAAAAGTGAGGGAGAGAGGGATTGACATGTAAAATAATAAATTAAAAAAAAAAACCCTATAATGGCTCCCTCTGTTATGGTATATCTTTTCTTGTTCTCCTTGACTCAATCTTTCTGCTCCTTCATGTCAATTCTCCCCTTCTTTTCACACCTTCTCTTTCTCCTAACTCCCTCTCCCTTCCCTCCATATTCCCAATTTGCTCTAGAGATCTTGTCCCTTTCCCCTTCTCCATGGGACTACGTATGTCTTTCTTAGGGTCCTCCTTGTTTCCTAGCTTTTCTGGTGGTGTGAATTGTAGGCTGGTAATCCTTTGCTCTATGTCCAAATTCAGTGAGTACATACCATCTTTGTCTTTTTTGTGACTGGGCTACCTCACTCAGGATGGTTTCATCTAGTTTCATCCATTTCTCTATGAGTTTCAGGATTCCATTGTGTTTTTCCTCTGAGTAATACTCCATTGTGTAAATATACCACATTTTCTCCATTCATTCTTCAGCTGAGGAGCATCTAGCTTGCTTCCAGGTTCTTGCTACTAAAATAATGCTGCTATAAATATAGGTGAACAGTTGTCCTTTTTTGTATGAATGTGCATCTTAGATATATGCCTAAGAGTTTAATTTCTGGATCTTGATGTAGACTAATTCCCATTTTCCAGAACAACCACCATTCTGACTTCCAAAGTGGTTGTATGAGTTTGTACTCCACCAGCAATGGAGGACTTTGTCCCTTTCTCCACATCCTCTTCAACATAAACTGTATTTGGTGTTTGATTTTAGTCATTCTGACAGGAGTAAGATGATGTCTCAGATTCGTTCTGATTTATATTTCCTTGATGGCTAAGAATGTTGAACATGTTCTTAAGTGTCTTTCAGCCAGTTTTAATTCCTCCATTGAAAATTCTCTATTTAGTTCTGTACCTCACTTTTTAATTGGGTTATTTGGTGTTTTGGTAACTAGCTTTTTGAGTTCCTTTGTAAGGAGTAAGGTTTGTCCTCCTGCCGCTGATGTGGTCCCGCCGCTGCACCTGCCCCAATTAACACACAGAGATTCTGTATTTGATATAATGCTGTTGGCCAG